TCTAGCTTCTCCATCTGATTCTCATCTCAATAGGCGTTACTTCCATGAGAGGTCAGGGAGGAAAATTTTTGGGCAATGCGCTCTTCTCCCTCCTTCCCGCCTGCGGCCGCACGGGTGCGCCGCACCGGGTGGGCTTTGGTCGATATTATATTTTAGCAGAGCTTCCGCTTCAACGTCACGCACTGCTCCGCAACCGGCCGCCCCCGCCTTCGCACGAGACTTTCCCTCCCCATCGCTACGGCCTCTCTTGACGTCCCACCGCGAACTTCACTCTGTCTGAGGCACCCTGGGCCAGGGTCTGGCTGCCTATCGTTCGTGTGAGTCAATCCGGTTAAACAGTCATAACGCGATCAGCCCGCAGAAGCGAGGAACAACTGGAATCTGCAACGTGCGCTAAGTAATTATGATGAACGCCGGCGGAGGCGAACAGCGCCGATACGTGCGGGCCAGTGACCGACGGCTCGCCGAAGTGGCGGCGCAGGCTGCAGCTCGCATCGACTTAGAAACTTTGAAGCACCGCCGCTCAGAGGCAGCGGGTGTGACCACCGAGCGCTCCATTGACGGTACAGTGGTCACTGCAACGTCTGTCATCGAGTGTTCGCTCAAGGAGATGCAGGCGCTTCTGAACCCGCCCACGAGTGACCGCTACGCGTGCGTCATGCGTGAGCTGGTCGGGCAGGACTTCATCTACGGCTCCATCGTGCATCACGCCCAGGAGATCACGACGCAGAATGTGTCGGTCCGAACGGCCACGTTCGTGAAACGCCACATACTGGCGCGCAACGAGCAGTGGTGTTTCGTTAGTGCAGTTAAGTCGCTGGAGTCGTGCGACAACAACGAGGCGCAAGGGTTTATTGTCACGCTTGCGTCGCTGCACCCGGACGACGTTTTCACCGGCAAGGCCCAAGCTGCCAGTGTGATTCATATTCAGGGACTGTCGGCGCTCTATCTCGTCACGGCTGAGCCGCACAGGAAGAGATGGCAGGGCAGAGAGAAGCGCGCCGTCCGAGTCACATTTTGCGCGCACGTGGCGTCGATCCCGGGCTCAGGCAGGCCGTCCCCGTTCCGGTGGCTTATGATGGCGAGAAATCGCGAAGAGGCCGATGACGCGTCTAATGGGGTAGTACTGGGACGGGTCGTGCAGCTCGCGCGCACGCTCAAACAGTTTAATGTCGCTGTGCGTCGGCGACGACTGGATGCGCAGGTTCTCGCGGACCTTCGAAAAGTTCAGCCCAGCAACTCCCGTTGCGCATGCTGCACGCGCCGCGTCAAGGTTAGTAAGAGTTTCTTCGGCTCCAAGAGAGGAAGCACGGAAGGGAGGACAAAGGAAGACGCGCGTGGTTCTAAATGCTGCCAGCTCTGCGGCTTTCTTGTCTGCGCTCGCTGTGTGTGCACAGTCGGCAAGGGCTCGATGTCGGAGGAGTCATTGGCCTCAAGCAAGGGTATTAAGTACAGTCAGACTGTGCACTTGTGTGAGCACTGTATGCAGCGCGTAGACGACGCCGATTATGACAGCTACTGTGCTTCGAACGGCAGTGTATCACCGTCCAGTGCTATCCAGCCCGATAGCCCCAACGCTGAACTACCCAGCGCCGTTATCGCACGGGTGCTGAGTCAGGTGCTTGGTGACGCTTCTCAGGACGAGAAACCAGTAGTCATCCGGGTCATTAAGCACCTGCTCAGCCCAAAGCAGGAGGAAAGAAATAAGTTCCGTGCTGACTCCGATGAGTTGGCCAAGAGCTTGGGTCGTTTGGCGGAGGAGCAAGGCTTCTCTTCCGAGATAAAGGTCAAGACAGCCCCCCAAGTCACCCCAGAGGGCCTTGTGACCCTGGAGGACGAGGAGAAACCTCCACTTGCCGGCAGCACAGGTCGACAGTACGCGCTGCAGTATATGGATTTGAACGACGATGCTGATGAAGAAGATACGGACGATACTGACGATACGGAAGACGCCGAAGATGTTGAAGACGCAAAAGAACTTACCGTTGTATCACGCCACCCCGTACCGGCGGATGAAGCCTACAGGTTGCAATGGCTTGACACGCACCCGAACATTATTTCGCACGTGACGGATCTCCCGGACCTAGAGCTGCTGTGTAACATTGCTCAAGGAGAACTACAGTGCGACGCAACACTTGTTACCATTTTCGGACCCAGCGCATGCTACGTGGTGGCGTCTACCGAACCTTCTTGGCGGGGAGCTGAGATTCCGCGTGACCATTCTATCTGTGGCCACACTCTTATGACTGGCGAACCGCTGCTTGTCCGACACCCGGAGGCAGATGTACGCTTTACTGCGATGAATCTTGTGCGTCGTGACGGTGTACGCTTCTACTTTGGCTTCCCAGTCAAGATTACGTTCCCAGAAGGCGGAGGCACAACCGCTGTGGGAACGTTCTGCTGCGTTCACGCAGGCGAAACTCGCGATGTGTCGGAATCTCAATACGCGCTCATGGCAACGCTCGCAGAAGGTGTAAACCGAGTTATGGAGTGCCGGGCGTCGCGCTTACTGGAGGGTTAGATGACGATGAATGGTGGTGCTGTAAATGAAAAATGGTATATTATATCAACACTGCCGAACTTCCATGCTCCAGCTTAAAACAAATGATCGCTTTCTCGCGCTGGCCAGGATGTCGTTGAAGTGTAGAGCGTTATCGGTCATGATGGGGATGACGAAGATGCGTGTGGCGTTATGAAAAAGGGTTTCGAGAAAGTCGTATCGCGCCTGGAAACTGGACGCGGTCACGGCATCGACAGCCGTAGCTCCGCCCGAAGCAAAGCCAAGGTACAGTGTAGAAGCTGTGAGCTGAAGTACAGCTTATCGTGAGCTGAGGAGATACAGCTATTCCAGTGCCGTGAGATGCAGTACTGTCAGTGTCCAGTATAAGACACATCCAGATCAAGACAAACCTGCACATCACGGTACTGTTCATGAGCGTGGAGCCACACGCGGCATTGCAGAACCAAACACCGCGTACGGACTATCACACACACTGCTGTAGACTTGACTACAGTATGCAGTGGTGAACTGATGGCTGTGAGCAAGCGCAGCTTGCTCACATTAGACTTAGATTGATTACCGGTATATTAAGTTACGTGCTACCTAATATACTGATTGCGGCGGGTGGTGTCTGGCATGAAGTCTCTGCCACACACTTACTTTGGAACTTGACGCCTGCGGCTCAAGTGGAGAGACTTCACTGCGCCGGATCATCACCTCGCCTGTCGTGGTGCCCTGCCTCGGCACTCACGTGTTTATACTAAGTGTCTTATTAGGGGTACACATATCCTACTGTACTGTAGCTATCTACTACAGTATTCTGCCTGAATAAAGAAATCCCCATATAAAAACTACGAGATAAATCGAACATGACAGGCAAAGTGATGGTGTCGGTCACAACTGTACTGTATTTGGTTAATGCAGGACAAACATTATATCTGTAACGGGGTACGTAGCACTAAGTGTACCCTGGTTACATGAAGTGTGACACTTCACACTTCAGGAGTATGACATGTCATACTCCGGGATATTTGGTACAAGGTACCAAGGTCATTCAAAACCAACCATTGGTTAAATGACATTGCATTTCTATAGGTAACTGATAGCTTGTATTAACCACAAACTTAACCTACCTATAAATATACTCAGTTTACAATCTACCTTATTTAGGTCACTTCGCTCTCTTTAATTAAAGAGGGGACCAGTGAACTGCCGTTCACTGAGAGTTTGTATACTCTCGGAAGATAACTTCCTCTAGCGCAAGGTGCTGTGTGACCCCGTCACACTTGGTAGCACTTGTAGTCAATCCACGCCATCGCGGGTAGACTACCTGAACCTCCGAAGTTCGTTGCCATGGATAGGAACGACTTCTCCCATATGAACGACTCTCAGTTCGAGTCGGTTCGGAAGATGGCAGGCATCTTCGGGATGGAGGCCCTGCAGAGCCTGGTGGTATCAACACCGGCTGAGCAGCTCGAGCGCGACAATGCATTCGACGCGTACGAGCAGGGCCTCATCGCGCATGTGCGGGAGAACCTGCAGGCTCCGGCGGCGGAAGCAAACCCGCCTCACCCGAAGCCAATACGGCTGAAGGTAAAGCCGTATGAAGGGAAGGAAGGCGAGAACCTTCACTTCTGGGTCCGAGAAGTAGAGCTCGCGATGGACGCGGCTCTGATCTCGACCGAGCAACTGCGTGTTGCTTTTGCACTCTCCAACCTTAGCGGTCGTGCTAAGAGTTAGGTGTACACTCGGGAAGCGACATCCCCTGGATGTTTCACATCCTGGGCTCAGCTGTGCCAACAGCTCCGAGCCGCGTTCCTCCCGGCGAACTACGAGTACCGCCAGCGTTCGCGCTTCCTCGCGTGTAAACAAGGAAGACGCGAACTGCACGAGTATGTGCAAGAGATACGGGAGCTCACGGCGTCCCTAGTGGGAAACCCACTCAATGAACACATCAAGATGACTGTGTTCATGGACGGCCTTCGAGTGGGCCCCGCACGCACTCAGCTGTTCCGGGTGCAGGCAAGCACCCTTGAAGAGGCGATTCAAGTGGCTCTTCAAGAAGAATACAGCCATCGCCAGGCGCGTACGCCGGCCTCAGCGTGGCCTGGGAGTTCCTTGTCGGCTCCCGGTCGAACAAGCCCCAACGGACCAGTTCCCATGGAACTCGGGTCCGCCGAACAGCGTGACATCCGCTGCTTCGGCTGTGGGAAGATGGGCCACTTCAAGCGCGACTGTCTCGCGGAAAGACTCCGCAGACGGTCCTTCCCCAAGCCCGTCCTCAAGGGTCGCTGGCAGAAGCCAGGATCCCGGGGACAGGGGAACGCAGGGAACCAGTAGGGGCGGGGCGCTCTACTGGGGGAAGAACTAAGTCTTCGTGATGGT